AGTATTTGCCTTTTTGTGACTAACCAATTTCACTTAGTATCCTATGTCCTCAAGGTGCATTCATGTAAGTCAGAATTTCTTTCCTTTTTAACAATGAATAATATTCCATACATACACATACACACACACACACACACACACACACACACACAAACCTGTATAATAAAAGGCAAGCGCCACAACGACTTAACGACCAGAATGACCAATCAACCAGTCACTATGAGATGCACTGACCACCTCTTGGTCCTTCCCCCCAGCCGACAGGCTCCGGATCACTGGATGGCCAACGGAGAACCAGAGGGAACTGGGGTGGGTGGCAGCGGGGCAGGACTGGGGACTGGTGAGCAGGCAGAAGGCAGACCTCTTGGTCCCCCACCCCCGGCACATAGGCTCCGACCGCCATATGGCAAACAGGGAACCACGGGGAACCGGGGTGGATGGCGGTGGGGTGGGACTGGGGACTGGCAAGCAGGCGGAAGATGGCCCTGATTGCAGGCTAGGCCTAGGGACCCTACCAGTGCACAATTTCATGCACTGCGCCTCGAGTGTGTGTGAGTGTGTGTGTGTATCTATATCTATATATATAAAAGCCTAAGCAACCGTTACGACTGGACAACCAAACAACCGGCCAGTAGCTATGACATGCACTGACCACCAGGGGGCAGACGCTCAAGGTAGGAGCTGTGCCCTGGTGGTCAGTACGCTCCCACAGCCAACCTCCCACAGCTGGCCAACCTCCCATGGTCCCTCCCCATAGCCAGCCGACCCAGATGACCCCGATCGCTGGCCAGGCCAAGGGACCCCACCTGTGCACAAATTTGTGCACTGGGCCTCTAGTGTGTGTGTGTGTGTGTGTGTGTGTGTGTATCCCAGTGTATGAAATTCATGCACTGGTAGGATCCCTAGGCCTGGCTGGGGATCAGGACCAATCGGGGCCTTCCTTCCCCCGGCTGCCAGCTGCCGGCCGGGGCCTTCCTTAATTCCACATCACCCCATAAGTCAAACTCCTGGTGGGTCAAACTCCAGAAGGGACAATTCGCATACTAGCCTTTTTTAGATAGGATACCACTATTCATTGATCTGTAGATAGACACTTGGGTCTATTCCACTTTTTGGCTATTGTTAATAATGCTGCTATGAACATGGGTGTAAGTATCTCAAAACCCTGCTTTGAATTCTTTTGACTATATACCAAGTAGAATTACCAAGTCATATGTAATTCCTTCTTTAATTTTTGAGGAATTGTCATACTGTTTTCCATAGCAGCTGTACCATCTTATATTCCTAGCAATAGTGTATAAGTGTTTCGATTTCTCCACATCTGACCAAATTATTTTTCATAGAAGTCATCTTAATGATTTTGCCCTCGGTAGGTGATGATCACAATTATTATCAAGTGTGAGTGAAAGGATTTCAATCTAAAATGGAACCAGAGAATACTCAATGGAGACTTTCCCACATGCACCCTCAGGAAAACAAAACGTAAGAATTAGAAAGTGATTTCCCATGTCTGATTCAGAGCTGAAACTTATTTCCTACCAATAAACATTGGTCAAGAACCTTGCCCAGCCAGCATGGCTCAGTGGTAGAACCTATGAACCAGGAAGTCCCAGTCGGATTCCCGTCAGGATTGATCCCCAGTGTGGGGCGTGCAGGAGGCAATTCCCTCTCATCACTGTTGTTCCTCTCTCTCTCTCCCTCTCCTTTCCTCTCTGAATCAATAAAATATATATTATATATTTTTTTAAAAGACTCTTTCCACTTCCTTAAGCCAATGAATTTACTGTGTGGCCTCTGGCTGTGCTTGCCCATAAATACATCTCACCCCGAACTCTCAGGGACTCGCCCGCAGCTTCACAGTTTGAGCTTTCGGTCCTGCATGTCTCAACTTCTTAAAGGTTTAAGGTCCCTGCAGATGAGCATGCAGTTTTAGAAATACAGTGACCCCCGTCTATTTCAACTTCCCCAACCCTAACGTCCTGTAAAGCCGCACAGCACAGCGCGCCGGGGATCCTGGCATCCGCAGTCAAAACGCACAGCAGTCTCTGCGCGGCCACACGTGCGCCAACTCACACACCGTCCCACCGTCACCGCGACCTTCACACTTATCCTAAGACGTAGGGCACCAACAGCCCCACCACGAGCGCTCACTACCCTTTCGTAGCCACACCACCTGCCGGTAACCGACTGGTAACCGACGGCCAACGCGGACAGGACGGGCTCCCCGCAGGGCGCCGGCGAGG